AATGCTTGTGATCACTAGTCTTTCTCCATCTTTCCCCTTCACCACAGACATTTTCAGAATCAGATTGCAGTTTTGATGAATGCTTGTGATGCTTTCCTTTACTATGACTGTGCTTCTTTTGATGTTCCTTTCTATCATGGTTCATCTCCTTCTCTTTACTTGTTTCAACCTACAAAAAAGTAATCATTGGTTCAGCAAGTGCACAAAACTGGTTATTTGCAATAAAAAGTTTGAGATTCTCCAATGATATCGATCTTCTTTCCCCTCAGCATGTAAATAGAATGTTTCAGCTAATATTAAAAAAATAAAAGTATGCATGTCTGATGGGAATGTTGATGTCACCAGGTTATGAGCCAAGGATACATCTAAGGTACCAAAGGTACTACACTACCATGAGATTTAAGTTTAACAGTTGATAGAACTAGCTATTCACCATCAATTTCATATCTAACAACGTATTTTCACAAAACCTAACAGACAGTTCTACATTACAAAATGGGAATGCATGATCAATTACATAGATGGAGAAAACAAAGATAAGGAAGCCATTCATTGAAAATTGTTATTCATCAAAAAAAGAGAAAAAGGAAAAAAACAGAGAAGCAAGCTTACAGATTTGCGAATCATTGCCATTTGAATGGGGTTGTTCTTGACACGGGCAAGGGCTTCTTGTTCTCGCTGGCGAATCAAAAGGAGAGGATCGGAATGGAGTTTCCTCCAAGCGTCATTGGAAGAGTGAGGCTTGTCCTCGAATAAGGCTCCAGGGGCAGACGACTGCTGGGCAGAAGAGGATGGCGCGTTGTTGTTGTTGCTGCTGCTGCCGGGAATGGATTCTTCAAGAGCCTTGAAAGCAACTCCAACCCCCCCTCCGCTGGAACTGCCACTGGTCTTGCCAACTGCTAATCCCGAATCATAAAGAAATTCCAACCTTTCCTGTTTCCTGCCACATTTGAATCATCAATTAAGTAATAAGACCCTAACCCTAATCCTACTAACCCCAGTAGTACCATTGGTTGGTTAGTTGATTTTATTTGAATTGAATTTGAAGAAAAGAAAAGGACCAGCTTACTGGCACGATTGAATAATAATGAATAAGCGATTAATTGCTAACCCTAACCCTAGTAGTTTGATTAGTTAATGGAATTGAAGGGAAGAAATGTAAAAAGGAGATTCTTACGGGACAAGACCAGCTTGCTCCTGGAGAAGACGAAACTCAGAACGCTCACGCTCATCTTGAATCTGTTTGCGGAGCTCCTCCAACTTCTTCTGTTCGGCGTCATGCTTCTGCTCAGCTTTCCACACGTTCTCTATGTTCCTAAGGCTCCCCGTGTGCCATCCCTTCTTGTTCAAAAACTTCAAAGCCATCGTCCGGTCAGTATTTCTCTCTGCAACTCTTCTTCTTGTTCAAAGACACAGGACAAGCACAGAATGATTTGTGTGTTTCTTCTTCCTTATTAAATAAATAAAAGAAAAGACGCAGCAGAAAACAACCCGGGAGGCGGCCGGACCAAGCCCAAACCTGTCTTTATTTATTTTTATGAAGGTGAGACAAAAGCCCAGGCCCAATAACAATAGTTTTATTTAATACGTGTGTTATCTGTGAGCCATTGAATTTGTTGAACCCAATACTTACGTACATACATACCCTCTGTGTGTTTTAAAAAAGAGCTCAGCAATATGATTCTCCCTCCGGCCTCCACCAAATCCGAATAAAGAAGTGGGCGTGGAAATCACTAAACAGCCACTGCCTGCCTCCGCCAGTGTCAGCCAGGCTGCCATTGCCACCCATCTCCCACCATTATTGTTATTTGACCTCCTTTTCTTTTCTTTTCTTTTCTTTTCATTGGTCACCATCATCCTGTCCTTTTTTCCCCTAAATACTAACAATAACAATAACAAACGGCACGTCGCTTACACGTTCGAAGTAGTAGAGACAGACACAGAGCATTACATTTTATTTTAGTTTCCTAAATAAATAAAATGGTCTCCCAAAAAAACCCTTGTATTTATTGGGCCGTTTCAAACCCTTTTCTCCTCCCCTCCCCGTCCTTGTTTTTTCCGCTCTCTCCCAATTCTTATATATATATATAATTCTTTACAGAAAATTCCGTCGAAATTATATAAAAAGAAAAGGTTGCTGCGCAAGTATATATACTCCAC